GGGCTCGCCTCCTCTTCGCCGGCCTCCGCCGCCGGTCTGGTGTTAAAAGCGACGGGGCTGCCAGGCCCCTCCCCCTGGCCACATGGATCCCTCCGCCCCGGAGCCCCGAGCGGAAGCCGCCGGCAAAGGTATAAGCTCTGCGCCTGGCCGCTCTGCTGACACCTGTCCCCTGGGCCGCGTGGACCGGTGCCCGCTAGTCCCCTTAGGGTTGGGGTGTCACCCTGGGGCTCCGCTGAGTGACGGCTGCAGACTGTGAGCCTCTCCGAGGCGGGGCCGGTTCTTTGCGATTCCGTGCTGAGAGCCGGGACCCTGCAGCCAGGCGGGCCTTGGATCTCGCACGGCTCTGACAGTTTCGTGCTGAGCAACGGTGGGCAGTTGCCTCGCCTGTAAGCTGATGCTTGCTGAGTTCTTGTGATTACTAAGTGAGATGGTATATGCAAAGCACTTAATGCGACCCAGCGTCTGGCCCATTGTGAGCGCCCAGGAAATGTTTGATATTTTAATTCCTTATCCTTGTATGCCCCAGTTCTTATGAATGGTAGAAGTTTGTTGTTAAGTAGATGAAAAAAGGTTGAAATACTTAGTTCAGTTTCCTTTATAACACAAAGAGCTTAATATATGATATATTGAGCAGGGCCTTATAGTCCACCTTTAAGGAGTCACCAAGAAAGGGTTTAAGGAGGATTTGTTATCTGCTACTAGTCATCTGGATGCCTTCTTGCCCCCGAGTTGAAAGATTTCATTATAGAGATATAGCAAAAGCTTGAGTGCCTGTTCTGTGCCCAGCAATATGCTGATTGTTTATCTACAGGCTTTTCTTTGAGGAGGATCTCGATCTCATTAAGTAGATTAATTCAGAGCTAAAGTTCAAAGAGGTTTATGTAACAAGCCAAAACTGAAGGCCAAAAATGATGACACTATAACCTAGGGACCACGAATACCAACACCTGTAGAAACCTGGCAGGTGAGATAAATAGATGAAGCTGCTGAGTGGATATTATAGTGACTGGGATGCTCATACCTCAGTTAAAAGGAGCAGGGGCTACTCAGTTCCAGGGACTAGTTCATTCATGTGTGAGCTGATAGCTTCAAGATCAGATAGCTTGATACATATCCAGGCTCTGCCACTTTCTAGCTGTGTGACCATGGGCAAGTTGGTTAACCTTTATCTGTTCTACCATTTGTAAAATGCAACTGATAATATTACTTACAAGAAGTAATGAGAGGGTTGTTGTGAGGCTTAAATGAACTGCTGCATCTAAAGCACATGCTGGTACACATAAAGCCTTCAAATGGTAGCTATATGTAAAAGTTGTTAATCCTACAAGTATTTGAGCTTCAAACATTGTTTTAGGTGCCCAGCATGTAGCGGTGAACACAAATTAAGCCCTGCCGTAGGGATCTTACATTTAAGTTGAGGAGATAAACAGTAACAGATATTTAATATTTTTCTCTGAAAGTGGAATAAAGCAGGGTAAAGAAAGAGTGTCAGGGATTGCTATTTTAGATTGGGTGGTCAGGGAAGATACCTCTGAGGAGATGCCATTTAAAGCAGAGACCTGAATGAATTGAAAGCATCAGTCACTTCAGTATTTAGGGAGAGTGTTGGTGGAAGGAACAGAAAGCTCAGAGGCCCTGAGGTGGGAACATGCTTGCCATAGTGAGGAACAGCAAGGAGGCCAGTTTGGAATGCAAGAGGGAGAGCTGGGAGGAAATGACGTTAAAGAGGAAAACAGGGACCAGATCATAAGGAGCCTTACACTCCCCCACCCCTACCCCCACCTCCGTTCATCCAACATGAAATCCTCCCAATTTAAGCTATTTATTCTAGAGTTTGAATCCTGAGTGATCCCAGTCCTAGCTCAAACTTAACTATTTGGTTCTAGAAAATAGCCAAACTCAGGAACCAAATCGATCTCCATAAATTTTTGCGTGAGGCCCATAAGGCTTCTGCCGGTGCTGCACCATCTGGCTGGCACCCTCTTCTTAGGCCTTCTTGCCTGTTATGTTATTTTCTCAGTACTCCTTTTTACAGCACACTGTCCTCTTCTTCCAGAGCACTTACTACACTTTCATGTTTGTAAACGTTTTAGCATCTGTCTCCCTCAAGGATCAGTGAGATCAAGGATGTGTTTACGTTAATAAATTCAGCACATGTTTACTGAATGCCTACTGTGTGCTGGTGATGGGATAAAAATTTAGAACAATACAGACATTTCCTTCAAAAAGAAGTTTTTCTCTAGTGGGAAAGACAGATAAAAACAAGTAAACATGATAAACATTGTATATATACTATGGAAGCACTAAACTAATGAGCTAGGGAATAATGGGACACCCTACTTTAAATAAGGTGCTCAGAGACAGAATCTCGGAGGTGAGAAAAACAGCTGAGAGAAGACCTGCTTAGCATGTGTGAATCAAGGGGAAAATGGAGCAAGTTGGAGAAGTAGGTAGAGGCAGATCATATAGGGGCTTATGCAATGGTTATTGAAAGATTTTGAGCTAAAGGTTTGCTAATAATTTGTATTTTTAAATAGTCAATATTGCCTCTATATGGAAAATGGATTGTAGGGGGAAAGTAGTGGCAGCAGAGAAAATGGTTAGGATCCTGGAGCAGTAATTTAGGAGAAAGCCAAAAATGCCATGCTTTAGGGCAGAAGTCAGCAAACTATGGTTGTGGGCCAGATCTGGCACAGTTGTTTTTGTAGATAAAGTTTTATTGGAACACAGCCATGCCCAGGTGTTTATTGGAACACAGCCATGCCCAGGTGTCGTCTGGCTGTTCTTACATTACAAGGAAAAGGCCTGCAAGATCCAATATAACAAGTAGCTAAAATCTGACTCTACAGAATAGTTTGCCAACAGTTGTTTCAGGGAGGAACGTAATAAATTTTTTTATTCTGATGGATTAGATATAGGGAGTAATATAAAAAAAGGAGTAAGGACAGGCTAAAGATTTTCTACCTTGAAAAGTTGGTTACGTATGTCATTTAATGAGATTCAGAAAGTCTGGTTCTCAGCAAGTTTTAATCACTATAAATTTTTATTTTTTTATTTTAGAGGATGATTATTAAAGCTGGGACAGTGAAACAAGGAAGGGCCTAGAATAACAGGAGAGGGATTAGGTGGGGAAATGAGCCTGGGCTGGGCTGCTTTGGCTCACTGAGGAGTCAGAAAAGGGGGCCTTGGGGGCAGGTTCAGGGGTTCAGCCTGGGACTAACTGCCCCTGCTCATTGCTGCCCTGGTTGCAAGCCTCTTGGGGTCCGTTAGAGTTTAGGAGATACATGTCTGTGGGGGAAAGGGAGGGTTGTTGGAGGGGGAAGGGAAAGGCAAGGGCATGCTCCAGGGAGGGAGAGCATGCCAAATCACTACAGTTTTTGACATTTTTTTTTTCATTTTGTACCCATTGCAGGGAATAATATCTAGTTAATAATTGGTGTCAAGTCATAGATGTTGAATAATAAATAAATTAATGAGCTTAGGGTCTTTAAAAATTTGAAGGCATTTGCTGAGTAGGCAGACAAATCATGTGAAACAGAAATAATGTGTTAAGAATTGCTATAGGGATTAATTTAGGTTTTAAGGCCCAAAGAATACAATTTTGAAAGTAGGGCCTATTGATCTCTGTGTTATTTCCTGTACAGCGGGTCAGAGTTTTAGCTTCACATTTAAACTTTTTCTTCTAGAATAGTGTAGCAGTGCTTAAATAGTTTGGATCCAGACATTAGAGTGGGCAAAGAACTTTCCTCTGTCTGCTTTTGATTGTCATGCAAAACGTCATTTCACCAAAGTTAGTGGGCATAATGGTTTTACTTTTGAGGAAAACTGATGAGAAATAGCATAATGAGCTATTCTTAAGAGAGTATGGACATACTAGTCATATTATAACCATGAACGTTATAAAAACCTAACTTGTAATCGTTAAGAAGACCCTACTAAACTAGCAATGGCTATATGGTCTCAGTGAGAAATGTGTGAGAAAAATAATTCCTACTGTCCTTACAGTTGTAGCCGTACAGTTCCTCTGGGGTTCTTGCTATAACAAATTCCATTTGTAAAATTATTTTCACTTAACTTCCTCTATTTGGTACTTTTTAATTGTTCCAATAGTATACTCTATAGAGACTCCCCTCCTCAGTCATAGTGCTATATTTCCTGAATAGAAAATAAAACAGCTGTACAGTTAAGCACAGAACAAATTCATGTATATAGAGGTCAGACTTTTCAAAAAATAATAGAATCAGCAGAAAGAGATCTTAGAATTTATCTGTTTTTTTAAGAATCTTAACTCTTCAAAACCTAGAAGGGAAAAAACCTTGACAAAGCTGGTACACATCACTGGATTGGGGTTCCCTTGATTGGTTGTGTACATACGTATAAAGCAACAGTTTAGAAGCAGCAGTATTGACAATGAGAAGAAACAGCTGTCTCCAGAGAAAGAAGATGGAATAACTATTTAAAAGAGACAGAACCACAAAAGCAGTGCTCTCCAGAGGATTTTAGCTGACTACTCACCAAGTCCTATTCACTGTTACTCTGCCATATCATTATGTTAAGGAGTCATCATGAATATTTAAATCAGTGGTTCTCAACCTTGGCTGTGCAGCAGAATCAGCTTTTGAATTCAACAACCAAACATAGTAATAAAACCCGATGCCCACGGCCTGTGTCCACCGAATCAGAAACAACAGAGGCAGTGTCCAGGCATGTACGGGGAGATTATGACACAAGCAGGCTGAGAACCATAGGAAATAAATATGCGCCCTTTATCCTGCTTTTTATAGGAGAACATCTGAGGATATAGTTTAGAAAAATATCTACACATGTTATCTGTATAATTTATCTTGTTTCAGTTATTTGGAAGGCGTATTTATGTGAGGTAGTTTTCTGATAGTGGATAATTGAGGTGGTACGTTATAAACTAGATTTGGAAGCTTTATTTTCTTCTTTTTTATTACAGACATATGGCACCCAGGAGAAAGATGTCTCGCTCCTTCTCCAGATAATGAAAAACTTTGTGAAGCGAGCATAAAATCTATCGCAGTGGATGAAAATGGGAAGTCATTTGCAATCATCTTATATTCAGATTTTCAAGAAAGGAAAGTACCTCTTAAACGACTTCAGGAAGTAAAATCTGTTAAAGATTGCTCCAGGAATTTCATATTTGATGATGAGGATTTAGAAAAACCTTATTTCCCAGACCGAAAATTTCCATCATCTGCTGTTGCTTTTCAGTTATCTGACAATGGAGACTCTATTCCTTATACTATTAATAGGTACTTGAGAGACTATCAAAGGGAAGGAGCCCAGTTTCTTTATGGACACTTCATCCAAGGAAGAGGGTGTATTCTTGGTGATGATATGGGACTTGGAAAAACAGTACAGGTAATTATTTTAATTGCTTTATAATTAAAAACATGAATAGATACCATATGGAAATCTCTGTTTTCACTCCCAGTTCTTTTGATAGCTACTGTGTGTGTGTTGCCCACCTGACAGTAAATTCCTTAAAGTTAAGGACAGTGCCTTAGTCGTTATTTTATCCTCAATACTTACTTAGTATTTATGAAATATATTATTTCATATATTATACCAAAAATAATGTTTTGGTATAATGTGGCTTGATTTTTACCTTTGGTAATACAATTATATTGATAAAATAGCTTAACCTTCTTAGTAATACTTTATGGAAGGAAAGCATACTGACATTTGTTGACCTGTACAGCTTGGTTAAATTGATTCTTGAAGGCCTTTTGTGCATGTTGTATCAGGAGTTTCTTAATCTGGGATCCCTGGGCCACTAGGAGTTCTATTGGTGGACTTGAGAGAGGCCTCCTATTTTCCTAAAAAATGTGCTGGAATTTGTACATGTACTATATATATTTTTCTGCAGAGAGGATCTACTTTAGTTATCTATTGCTGCACAACAAATTACTCCAAAATATATAGCTTAAAAAATGATTTAACATATTGTAGTTTTTGTGGGTCAGAAATTCAGGCACAGTTGAACTAGGTCCTCTGGCTCTCTCTCTCACAAGGCTGCAGTCCTCCCTTGGAGTAGGGAGCAGCCACTTCCTAGCTCATGTGGTTTTAGGCAAGATTCAGTTTCTTGCATGTCAGACTGAGGCCTCATTTGGTTTCTTGCCACATGAGCCTCTGCTTGGAGCTTTTCACAACATGGCAGCATGCTTCATCACGGAGAGCAAATGAGGGCGTAAGAGAGAGCCTAGTAAAACAGAATTCATGATCATTTGTAACTAATCACAGAAGAGATAGCTGCTCATTTTTGCCATAGTCGCTTCTTTAGAAGCAAGTTACTAGGTTCATCCTGTACTCAAGGGGAGGAGATTAGACAAGGTTATTATGAATATCAAGAGATGGGGATTATTGGGAGCCCTGTTAGAAGTTGCTTAGCACAGGATGCTTTGCTTTCATTAGATTTTCAGAGAGGTTTATGATCCAAAGAGTTTAGAGTTCTGAATCTAGACATTATGCTAAATAATCACTCTGGATTTGCAGGAGTGTTTGTCTACTTTGTGATTAAGTCCTTCCGTGTTACCTTTGTTATAAATGAATTTAAGCTATTGTATTCTTCATTACACCTCCATTGTAGGAACCAGAGATAAATGAAAAACTAATTTAACATTTAAAAATAGCCAAATACCACTATGTATGAAGCTCTGGTGTAAAAAGCTAGGGTAAAATTAAGTCCTTCAATAACCATAGTGTATTACCATGAGCCATATGCTCTGTTCCTTTAAGTCTAGGCAATGTACATAGTTCTAGGCTTGCACATTGAAGGTGCTAAATAATTGCTCATGGAATAAACAAATTTGCTTTCTCAGGAGAATAGGTAGCAAGAATAAAAAAAGCCTTTCATAAACTACTGTCTGTGACCAAGATATATAGATGAATACTAGAGGAAAATAAATAATAAAGCCCTTTTATAACTCTTTACATATACTTTTACAGTATTTGCCCATGCTAGAATATTCTTTCCCACACTTCTTTGACTAGCTAATGCTTGTTCATCTTCAAAGTCAGAAACGTGAGGGTGCTGCAAAAAGTGACCTGTAGTTTGGGAAACCCTACCTTAAAGCTACTAAGGACAGTTGAAATTCTTCTGCATGTTTTAGGCTCAAGTTTAGTTTTCATCTGTGAAGCCCATGTTACAAAGAAATTCCCTTTATTTTCTATTTCATAGAATGAATTTTAAAGTGATTTTACTGCATAATTTTGTGTTACCTAGCACAGAGACATCATTGGAAGGCTGAGTTGTGTTAGATGCTGTGAAAGTCTTTGAGGGTTCATCTCCTTAAGATTAGGAAACAGTCTCTGTACTAATTTTGATACTCAGTTGGATTTGTCTGATCCTTGGAGACCTAGTTCCCTGGTTCTTGTAACTCAGAGGATAATTTCTACATAAATAGGCAGTTTGGGAGACCATATAAGATAGAGCTTCTATAGATGTAATGACTAAGTCAGTTGAAGAAATGTGAACAACAGTTAATGAGTTCACTAGAATTTCAGGATGCAATAGAATTAGGTCCATACAAACGGACGATTGACATTTACTGTTTGAACTATAGTATTATCTTCTTCTCTTATCTCTTTTTTTGTGATATCGTCCCCCAAGTTTCCACCTTCTTACATTCTTACTTGGCCATAATGTGAAATAGAACTCTTCTTTAAAAAAAAAAAAAAAGGCTTGCTTGACATGCCAAGTAAAATTTGCCTCCCTAATTTCAAATTTAAACGTAGGTAAATTTAATATTGTTCATTCTTTGAGGGGTGAGGATTAACAATACCTGTTTGCTCTGGTGGTGTGGAGATCATTGGTATCTTGAGCAAGAGCCATTTTGCTGGAATTTGGGGCACCAGCCAGAATGAAGTAGGTGAAGGCATGGGCACAGGAAGTGTCCTCACCTCTCTAAGAAATGTGGCTTGGAGAGGGAGCGACAGTGACCTAATAGCAGCTGAAAGAGGATAGCATTTTGAGGGAGTTTCTTTCTCTTTTGGTTTGTATCATTTAGGACTAGGAGGAACTTGTGTAATTTTAAAGTGAGTTGGAAGGATCTGATTGAGATGAGCATGGCACAACGTACATGAATATATGCAGAGCGTGTAATTCACGTCTGCATGTCCATGAACACGCAGACATACATAAGTATGCAGAAGTGGAATTGCTACTATCTTACAAATGGATTTTTCCCCCCAATATCTTATCTTGAAACTTTTCAAACATACAGAAGAGTGGGAAGAATTGTACAATGAATACCCACCACTTAGAGTCTGTTAATTTTCTGTTTCATTATACATGGCTTTATCACAGATCTGTCCATCCATCAAGCCATCTTTTGTTGCATTTTAAAGTAGCAGACATTAGTATATTCTGTCCCCAAGTACTTGAGCATGCATGTCATTAGCTAGAGTTCAATATTTATTTACAATTCTTTTTTTCATTTTGAATTAAAATTTATAATGAAATGCACAAATCTTAATTATACTCACCATTCCATGGGTTTTGACAAATATGCATCTTTGTATAAGCCGGATAAACCCTCTCAAGATATAGAATCTTATCATTACCGTAGAAAATGTCTTCATTTCCCTTCCTAGTCCTGCCACTAGCCCCAAGAGGCAATCATGTTCTGCTTTCTTAAGGCATAGATCAGTTTTGCCTTTTCAGTATTCCATTGTATAGATGCCATATTTTGTTTATCCGCCCTCTTGCTGATGGACTATTTCCAGGTTAGCTATTATGAATAAAACTATTTACAAATTTCTTGAACAATCTCTTGTGTTTTCATTTCTCGTGGGTAAATAATAAGGAATGGAATCACTTTGTCATAGAGCTGATGTATGTTTAGTTTATAAGAAGTTACCAAACCTTTTATCAGAGTGTTTGTACCATTTTGCATTCCTACCAACAGTATATGAGAGTTATGGTTGCTTCATATCCTCATAAAATTTGGTTTTGTCAGTCTTACTAATTTTAGCATTTTTGTTAGGTATGTGTATATGTGTTTGCTTGTGTGTTGTTTATATAGTTTATTAAGTTGTAATTGACGTACAATAAACTGCATAATTTTACAGTATATAATTTGATAAGTTTTATACACACACACACACACATATATATGTATACACCCCAGAAATGATCACTATAATACCACCCTCAAGGTAATGAACATATCACCCCAAAAGTTTCCTCATGTTCCTTTGTGCCTATGATATGTTCAACGCCAATGAGTATCACCTACTGTTTTCACTTTTCATTTTTAATTGGACTAAGAAATTAAGCTGGGAAGAGATGTAAAATCCTAGACTTTTATGAAAATTTCCCAATATTTTACAGGATTCTCACATCTAATTCACTTGGTAACTTGAAAACGATACCTCTCTATATATTTATATAATATTTAATTAGCCAGGCCAATCAGTTGCAAGGACTGGCTGCAACCACTGACCACTGACCTCCGACCACTGTGGAGGATCAGCTGTGCTGGGGCCACCTCACAGAGCAGATTTACTTCTGCAGGGCTTTGCTACCCACTGTGTCTGCCCCTTGAGTGTGTCACTTGTGGAGGTGGTTGGCAGCGGTGCTCTGACACTGTCTGAAGCTGTCTACTGGGTGTGCTGGGTATGGGGCCTTCTGGGAAGTGCAGGCCAAAGTCAGCACCACCTGTGTTCTGCCAAGGCCACCTGACATTAGCTACAAAGCAGTCTGTAGATGGTGCTGCTTGTGCTGGGCTTGGAGGTACACATGAGAGGCCAAGCTGTAAACCAAGGCTGGCAGCTGCTAGTGTTAGGTCTGGGGCCACTTAGTAAGAGGTACAGGGCTACTGAGGCAAGATGCTGCTTGTTTGAGAGATATTAGGAAAATCTGAAGGATGGGCCAAGACAGCCAGAATTATAGGGACTTCTCTTCCTGGCACTGGGACCCTGGGCTGGGGGGGCCTGGTGTGGAGGTCAAGACCTCCACAGCCGAAATATCCTTCCTCATTTTATCTGCCACATGTGGGTGTGGGACCAGCCCCTTTGGTGTCTCAGCCCCTCCTTCTAGTCTCAGTATGGCTTCTTTAATTCCCTAGTTGTAGAACTTTCCTAGTTGTAGAACTTCTATTCAGCTTGATGTCAGGTGGTTCTGAATGATGGTGGTTCTGTAGTTTACTTGTAATTTTGATGTGGTTGCAGGAGGATGTGAGTACCATATTTACCTACCTGGCCATCTTTCTTTCTTTTTCTTTTTTTTAAATTTATCTTTATTGATTTCAGAGAGAGGGAGAGAGAGAGAGAAACATCAATGATGAGAGAGTCATTGATCGGCTGCCTCCTGCACACCCCCTGCAGGATTGAGCCCACAACCTGGGCATGTGCCCTGACCTACCTGGTCATCTTGACTGGAAGTCTTGTCAGGTTTTCTTACCAAGGTTATGTTGAATTCATAAAATGAGTTGAGGATGTTTCTTCCTTTCTCTAAAGTTTGGAAGAGTTTATTTAAGACTGGCATTATATCTTTCTTAAGCATTGAGTAGACTTTGTTTTTGAAGTCATCTGACCCTTAGTTTTCTATGTGAAAGGATTATACTTTTGTACTTAAATTTCTTTACTAGTCAAATATGTAAATTTTTTCTTTTGTGTCAGCTTTGTTAAGTTTGATTCCATTTCCCATTTCATCTATATTTTCAAAATTTTGACATAACATTGCTTATTATGTCCTATAAGTATTTTTTATGTTTGCCTCTTCTCTTAGTTTCTCTTTTTTCTTTATCAGTTTTGCTAGGGGTGTATCATTTAAAAAAATCTTTTCACAAAATAATTATTTGGCTTTGTTGATCCTTTTTATTGTATGCTTCTTCATGTTTCATTAATTTCTTTTTAAGTTTTCAGTTATTTTCATTAATTTTTGAAATAGATTCTTAGATATCTGATTAGCAGCCTCTCTTCTTTCCTAATGTATGCATTTAAGCCCCTAAGACATGGCTTCAGGTGTATTTCACAAGTTTGATATGTAATTGTTACTTATTATTGTTCAACTCAAATTATTTTCTCATCTGCATTGTGAGTTCTTTAAACTATATTTCCAAATATTTGGGGATCCTCCGCTTATATTTTTGTTATTAGCTTCTTTTTTAAAAAAATACATCTTTATTGATTTTAGAGGAAGGGAGAGGGAGAGAGAGGGAGAGAAACATCAATGATGAGAGAGTCATTGATCAGCTGCCTCTTGCACACTCCCCACTGGGGATCAAGCCCACAACCTGGGCATGTGCCCTGACCGGGAATCGAACCTCGATCTCTTGGATCCTAGGTTGATGCTCAACCACTGAGCCACGTTCAGCCAGGCTATTACTAGATTCTTGCATTGTGATCAAAAAACATTTTGTATGATTTCTGTCTATTGAAATGTATTGAAATTTGCTTTATGATCTTGCATGTGAACTTTGGTAAATACTTATGTGGTACTGGAGTGCTCCAAAGAATTTCAGAAGTAGGTTATATGTTTTATAGACTACAGTAAACCCTTTGACTGCATTGATCATGCACAACTGTGGGGTGCTCTGAAAGAAATGGGGATGCTTCAGCATTTGATCATCTCGATGTGTAACCACTAATGAGACAGACTGTGGAGAGACAAAATAGTTTCTATAGGTGTAAGACAAGGTTGTGTTTTAACTCCCTATTTAATATGTACACACAACATATACTACAAAAAATTGGGCTAGACTCAGAAGAAGGAGGATGAAAACTGGTGGGAGAAATATCAATAACTTAAGCAGATGACACCATCTTACTAGAAGAAAGTAGCAATGATTCAAAATGACTTCTGATAAAAGTGAAAGAAGAAAGTGTTAAAGCAGAACTGCATTTAAACTTCAAGAGACAAAAATCAAGAAGTACACAACTTTTTTGTTGTTTTTTTAATTTGAGGATATTTTTTTCATTGATTTTTAGAGAGAATGGTAGGGAGGTGTGTGGAGGGGAGAGAGAGAGAGAGAGAGAGAAACATCAATGTGAGAGAGACACATCGATTGGTTCCCTCCTGCACAAGCCCAGACTGGGGCCCGGGATCAAACCTGCAACCCAGGTATGTGCCCTTTACCAGGAATCAATCCTGTGATCATTGGGTGTGTGGGCCCATACTCTAACCACTGAACCACACCTGCCAGAGCAAGAAGTACACAATTTTATTTATTTATTATTATTTATTTATTTATTTAATATGTCTTTATTGATTTCAGAGAGAGGCAAGGAGAGAAAGAGAGAGAGAGAAACATCAATGATGAGAGAGTCATTGATCAAGCCCACAACCCGGGCATGTGCCCCTGATCGGGAATCGAACCCTGATCGCCTGGATCCTAGGTCAACGCTCAACCACTGAGCCACACCTGGCCGGGCTTATTATTATTTTTTTAATCCTCACTCAAGGATATTTTTTCCATTGCTTTTCAGAGAGAGTGGAAGAGAGAGAGAGACATCGATGTGAGGGACACATTGATTGGTTGCCTCTGGCACATGCCTTAACCAGGGCTGGAGATTGAGCCTGCAACCAAGGTACATGCCCTTGACCGGAATCGAACCGGAGACCCTTCAGTCCGTGGGCCAATGCTCTAACCACTGAGCCAAACCAGCTAGCGCGAAGTACACAATTTTAACATAGACAATGAAGACACTGAAATTGTTAAAGATTTTGCTTGCCTTGCTTGGTTCAGTTATCAATTCAAATGGAAACTGCAGCAAAGAAATTAAGAGAAGGCTGAGACTCAGAAGGGCAACAATGAAAGAATTAGGAAAGAGCACCAAGGGCAAAGATTTGTCATTAGAGACCAAAGCTAAGGTAATCCACACCCTCGTACTATATACAGATGTGAAAGTTGGACAGTGGAGAAGGCTGATAGGAAAAAAGTTGACTCATTTGAAATGTGATGTCGGAGAAGAGCTCCAGGGATACCTGGACTGTCAGAAAGACGAATAAGTGGGTCCTAGAGCAAATTAAGCCTCAAACTTTTCTGGAGGTAAAAATGACAAAACTGAAACTGTCCTACTTCAGGCACATCATGAGAAGGCAGGGTACTTTGGAAAAGACAATAATGCTAGGAAAAATAGCATGAAAGAAGCCATAGTTGTAGGCATGAGTCTGCAGGAGCTGAGCTGAGCAGGGTTGTTGAGGACAGGACATTGTGAATATTATTCATAGAGTCGCTAGGAGTCAGAGATAACAGCACATAATACACAAACTGTAAATGAAACTATGTTTGGCAACAGTGTGCTGTGTTCTATTAAATGTTCATTAGGTCAAGTTTGCTAACCATGTTACTCAAATAGTGTATATCTTTACTGATTATTTTGCTCTTATTGAGTTATTTCAAAATCTACCGTTGTACTTGTGGATTTGTCTACTTTTATTTCTTGCATTCTTCTAGTGATTTCCCCAGAGATTAAAACAGATATTCTTGATTTGTCAAAATCTAATGTAAATTAGTACTTTTTTTTTCTCCTGGACAGCATAAGGACCTCTGAATATTATAACTACACTTGTGCCCTTTCTAACTTACACACACTTGTCATGTTCTTTTAATTCTTCTGTTATTTAATCCCAACAAAATATTTTATTATTGTTTCATAATGTCAATATACATTTATATTTTCTATATATTTATTATTTTTGTTGCTCTTAATTTTTCCCTTTGTCACTGAGTGTCTACATAGGATCATTTTATTTGTGTCTGAAAACATTCTTTAGTTATTTTCTTTAGGGTGGCTCTTTTGGTGATGAATTGTCTCAGTTTTTGTCTGAAAATATTTTTATCTTCATTCTTGAATGATAATTTCCCTGGTTATAAAATTAGATTGCTTTTATATTCTTCAGCACTTTGAAAGTATCATTCTGTTACATAGTGTCTTCCACTGTTTTTGCTGCTGTAAGGTCAGTTGTTTGTCAAATTGTTGCTTTTCTGTAGGTCATTTGTTGTTTTTTCTTCTGGCTGCTTTTAAGATTTATTTTTAATGTCTCAAGTTTTGAGCAGTTTTTTTATGGAGCACCTACTCTTGGATTTTTCAGTTTTTATTTATATCTTTGACTTGATGTTCTTAGTGGATCTGGACTATATGGCTTGATTTTGTCAGCTTTTAAATAAAGCTTTCAGCCCTTATTTCTCAAATACTGCCTCTGGACCATTCTTTTTCTTCTATCACTTGGGATTCAGATTATAAATATCCACACTCATGCTAAAAATACTATTATTATAGTATTTAATAAATAGCTTTGCTAATTACCTCATTTTTCTTTAGGTTTTAATATTTATATAATTTATTTTTCTAAAGTATTCCTTTCTCCCATATGAATATCTCATACTTTTCCCTTTGAATCTTTAAAACAACCCTGCTGATATTATTTTTGATGTTTTCATGTATTTTTACAGTTATTCAGAAATGTTAACTAACTGGCCCAAATACACATAGCTGCCAAGCAACTAAAGTCCAATTGATTAACAATTTCTTGGTCTTTATTATTATATGAGGTTATACTTCCTTTTTTCTGTGTCTTTCTCACTTGATTTTTGGAATGGTGTATATATTGATGAATTATCTTAATTTATCTTAAAATAACACTGTATTCCAAGTATATTTATTGGATAAACGCGTACACAAATTTATGAGCTAAATATTACCCCCTTAAGGAGTTTACTTTTTGCAAGGAAAAAAGAATATACACAGTTTATTCTAATAGAGAATATGAACAATTAGTTTTCATTGATCAAAACAAAACAGTTAACTGTTGAGATCAAAAAATAATTCTTTGAGTAGGTAGAACTTATCATGGAAGAGATGACAATGTGAAAATTATTTTTACTGTATTTAAAGATAACATCTATATTGTACATTTATTTGTTAATACAAATAAAACCAATACTAGTGTTTGTCACTAATTAGGTAGTTAGTCATATAAGCAGTAGAATATTGTCCATTCTGATACATTATACACATTGATTGAAAAATGTTTGTTTGTTTTCCAGGTTATTTCGTTTTTGGCTGCAGTTTTGCATAAAAAGGGAACTCGTGAGGATATTGAAAATAACATGCCAGAGTTTTTACTAAGAAGTCTGAAAAAGGAACCTCAGTCTTCTATAGCAAAAAAGGTAAGATATCTAGGAATATACAACTCATGAAGCTGGTATTACAGAAAACAGAAAATTTTAAACATCACACATTACAGTATGAATTTAAAACATAAGATTTAAAAACATTTTTAAAATATTTGTTTTATAAACCTAATTTTTGAAGGATTGCCAATTTTATCCTCAAGTTAAATATGATTGAGTCTCAGAATGGCAAAATGTAATTTCAGCTTGAATTTCTTTTGAGGTTTTAATCTTTTACTTGGCTAAATTTATGTGATTTTGTTTGATTAATTTGTTAACTATCCATGAATGTGCATATAAAGTTAGTCGAAGTTCATTATGTTACTTTTATTTACGTGAGGATGAAAAGGAGACAGTTGTAGATATTGGCAGGAAAGGTGTGTCATTGATATTTAAAGTTGTTGTCCTGGCCAGTGTGGCTCAGTTGATTGGACCGTCGTTCTGTATAACAAAAGGTGGTGGATTCGATTCCCAGTCAGGGCACCTGCCCTGGGTTCAGGCTCGATCCCTGTCCGGGCAGATGCCAAATGCGGCCATCGATGTTTCTCTCTCACATTGATGTTTCTGTCTCTCCTCTCTTTCTTTCTCTTACCTTCTCCCTTCTTCTCTCCAAAAATCAGTTAAAAAAAAGCAAAATAAAGTTCCTTAGGAGACTACATCCCCCAAATATGAAACAAATTCTTCTAATGCAAGGAACATTGAAGTTGGAAGCAGAAAGACTAAGGCCTAGGCTTGTCTCTGTCTCTGTCTGTGGAACTATGAATACGATTCATATCCATATGTCAGCTTTCTCCTTTGTAAATGTACACATGAGTTTTGTAAATAAAAAAAAGATATTTCTAACAAAATAATGAAACGTAAAAAAAGTATACTATATTTATGTGTCTGACTTATATTCCTCAGCATCCAGGAAATTGGATAGAAATGAAGAAAGTGATTTTATGAAGTCTATGTTATATTATGGTAATGAACCACTTTCCACAAGTTTTAAAAGAGTCTTATATATAAGATTACTGAGAAGTCCAGGTTTACTCTTGTGCATCATTTGGAGCTTTTCAGTGCAAAATTTGGAGATGCACTGACTTAAGTTATTATTATTCCTTTAAATTCTCTTTATTATATTTAATAGCATAAATGGGTCCTTGAGCATCAAATGAAATTTGATCCAAAAAATTATGATTATTAATGTGTTTTAAATCTCCAAGAGTCCAAGGACTGTTTTTAGCCCTGGTTTCAGTTGTTCTTTGGTTCTAAATGTCAGTGCAGAACTTACATATCTTTTATATATCACCTGTGGCAATCAGCAGACAGGGGAGAGAAAAAATAAGGAAAGTAATACTTAAAATACTTTAGAAGGAGCAAGAATGGGAGAAAAGAGAAAGTAAAGAAAGATATTCACTTGATGGTGTGATGAATTGGCTAATAGCCACCTTAATTGACACTAATGGCTGCCTCTCTCCCCTTCCTTCCTTCCTTCCTCCCTTCCTTCCTCCTCTCTCTCATGTATCTATCATCTCTCTATCTATCTGTCTGTCTATCTATCTATCATCTATCATCATCTATATCTATGTATGTATGTATGTATGTATGTATGTATGTATGTATGTATGTATGTATCTATCTATCTATCTATCTATCTATCTATCTATCTATCTATCTGTCACCATCTGTTTATCTTCCTGGCTATAATATGCATTGCTACTTTTCTACCTCCAGTTAAATTCTTAATTCATTTACTGTGTTCTCTATCTTTTCTTGTATTCTAATAAATTCCATTGAGGCTGTAATGTTCCTCTGAGTACTTCCTTTGGCTGCATTCCATAGTTTTAGATATGTAGTCTTTTCATTATTCTTTTCTAAATTACCTCTAATTCTAGTTTTTGTTCTCTTTCACCCAAGTTCTGTTAAAAAGGAAAATTTTAAATTGTCTAGTGAGTATATATTACTGCGTGGGGAGTGCCTGGGGGGCTTAGCCTTTGTTGCCGATTGCTTGTTTTGTTGCATCAGATGAGGATCCAATGCTGAACTTTTTTCCTTTGGAAAGGAAATTTTCTTTTTGTTTGAAAGTGTTCAGGACTTTTTTTTAATTCATGAAATTCAGAGCTTTCCTTCGCCCTGGCTAACACTCACTGTAGAATTCTTCTGAACAAGTTCCACTCTAGAAAGCTGTGCGCTGTACTTCGTGTAGGGAAGTGGATGCTGATGCTTGAATTAGCTTCTCTAGAAGAGATGACTGGCATGATTGCTCTCCCTTTAACGAATTACTCTGCCATTTCTTTTCATTGTTTTTTTAATTTGTTTTTCCAGTAGTTCGTTGCTAGTATATAGAAACACAGCTGATTTTTGTATATCAATTTTTTATCCTGCACCTCTACTGAATTTGTTTATTAGTTCTTACAAATTTTGGTGGAGTCTTTAGTTTTCTAAATATAATATCATGTCCTCTACACACAGAGACCATTTTACTTATGCCTTTTCAATCTGGATGTCTATATTTCTTACCTAATTTTCCTGGATAGGAGTCTCAGTACTATGTTGAATAAAAGTGGTGAAAGGGCATTTTTGACTTGTCACTGCTCTTATAAGAAATTTTCAGCTTTTCACTATTAAGTGTAATTTTAGCTGTGGATTTGTCATATGGACATTTGACAAACCCATTTGACAAACCCACAGCTATATTGAAGTACATTTATTTTTGATATTGAAGTACATTCCTTCTATACCCTGTTTATTGAGAGGTGTGTGTTTTTATCATCGAAGGATGTTGAATTTTGTCAAATGCTTTTTTGCATCATATGCCCTTCTTTTGCATCTATTGGGATGATCATAAAATTTCTACCATCCATTTTGTTACTGTGATGTAGCACATTTATTGATTTGCATGTGTTGAATTATCCTTGCATCCCAGGAGTCAATTCCATTTGTTCATGGTGTATGATCCTTTTAATGTACTGTTGAATTCTACTTGTTAATATTTTGTTGTGGAATTTTGCATCTGTGCTCATCAGGGATGCTGGCCTGTGCATATCTTTTCTTGTACTAGAAATCCTTGTCTGGTTTTGGTGTGCGGGCCTCATAAAATGAGTTTGGAAGTGTTCCTTCCTCTTTTATTTTTTAGGAGGGTTTGAGAAGGATTGGTATTCTTTAAATTGTTGATAGAATTCACCAGTGAAGCTATCTTGTCCTGGATTTTTCTTTGTTGGGAAATTTTTGGTTTCTGATTCTCTCTCTTTACTAGTAATCAATCTGTTCAGATTTTCTATTTTGTGCAACCCATTTGCCACACCCCATAAGTTTTGGTGTGTTTTGTTTCCATGTTCATTTGTTTCAAGATTTTTTTTTTATTTCCCTTTTGACCTGTTGGTTGTTCAGGAGCAAATTGTTTAATCTCCACATATTTGTGAATTTTTCAGTTTTTTTCTTCTAATTGGTTTCTAGTTTTATGCCATGTGGTTGGAAAAGATGTTTGATATGATTTCAATCTTCTTAAATTTATTGACTTATTTTGTGGCCTGACACATTATCTATCCTGAGAATGTTCTCTGTGCTCTTGAGAAGAATATGTATTCTGCGGCTGTTGAATGAAATGTTCTGTGTATGTCTGTGAGATCTATGTGTTCTCATGTGTAATTGAAGTCCAGTGTTTCCTGACTGAGTTTCTGTCTGGATGATCTGTCCAGTGTTAAAAGTGGATATTTATTGAAAAGAATCTGCATAAGTGGATCTCCAGAGTTCAAACCCATTGTTCAAGGGTCAACTATATAGCAAACATTCCAATTATATGGTCCATAAGTTCTCTCTATAAAGGTATATTTTATTCTTTGCTTTGATATCTCACTTTGTGCCCTGTGAATACACAGTGCTGTTTCTGCCTTGGAATTGACATGCATGGTGTCATTTTATTATTTTACTTATCAATGGAACACCTTTGTTTTCTAAACATAATACAAAGTACAGTGGTAAATAAAGTTAAGTGTTTCAAGATCAAGGGCTTTCTGATTTAAGGGGCTAACATGATATATCATGGTGATGAAGAGTTTTGGAATTAGACATAGGTTCAAATACTTTGTCGCATTTGAAGTAGCAATATGATGTTAGGCTTATTTTTTTAACATCTCTACACCTTAGATTTTTCATCTCTGAAAAGGAAATATTAAATATTTCTACTTCATAGCATTTCTATGTAAAGTCCCTGTATTAATTCCTTAAGCTACTTTGCACCAGTTTTGGCTCACAGAAAGTGCTCAATAATGATAATGATATTGTTAATGCTAGAACTACTTCTACCACAAAAATCATCACACATGAAACACCTTTGGGTGTCTTTTCACAATCCATATCACATCATTTTTTAAAGCTATCGTGTACAAAGAGTCAAACTTTAAAAGCTTGTGCCTCAATAATTGAACTAGATTTGTTGAAAGAGATAAAAATAATTCAGTATTCTCTAGTTGTACTATTAAACATGGCCTCTGTTAATAATATTTAAGTGAGTGGATTTTAATTTAATTTATATTTTAGATTTAGTTTTATAAAATTGTTTCTTAGCTTCAGAATAAGAAATAGAGTTGCTTCATGTGTTCTGTTCTGACTTGGCAGTTGGACACTGCTTTCCATTTTATTATTTGGCTTTTGCTACAGAAAGACTTGTTAAGTAAAATATTGTGCATAGCATGGTAGTAAACATGTTAAGTTTTATTCTTATATACTTTCTTTGAACTTTGCAAAGAGCATAACTCAGTTCTCTGACCTCTTTTATTATTAAATTGAGTTATTGAACTATTTGATTTACCTTTCACAACCTGAAGACCAATAATGACTGTAAGAAATGTCTTAATTTTTAAACCTCTTCTGGAACCTTAGGGTTGCTGTTTCTACAAATCTTTAGCTTCATGCGTTTTTGATGAATGACCTCTCAAATGAAAAACTGCTCAAAGTGCTCTGGTGGAATTTGGACCCAACATTTTCATCTTATAATATGCAAAAAAGGAGGAGGG